GACACGAGAAGGATGATTTTTGGTGGTGACTTTAATTGTGTAATTTCAGTCCGGGACTGTAGCACTCGTGCTCAGGCGTCTGTCTCTCCTGCTTTAGTTAGGACGTTACAATCTATGCACTTCCGTGATACCTGTTTCGTGGCGGGTGGTGTCCCGGCCTATACCTTTGTTAGTAGGGATTATGGCTCTCGCCTTGATCGCGTGTATGTGCACAAATCTTATGGTTAGGTCCGCTCTTGGGCCACTGTTCCGGTCTGTTTTTCGGACCATAGTATGGTGGTGGTGGGCGTTGTTGTCAATGATCAGGTGCGGTTGGGTAGGGGTTGGTGGAAGCTATATTGTGGTTTGCTTAGATACCCGTTGGTGGTGGAGGAATTTGGTGTGATGTGGAGAGCGCTAGTGACGCGGAAAGTTGATTTTGTGTCTATGCTAGATTGGTGGGACTGGTGTAAGGTGGAGTGCAAACGTTTCTTTGTTCGTTTCTCGAAGCGTCTTGCAGCGGAACGGTATGGTCTTTTGAATTTGTTGCAAGCTCGATTGCGTCAGCTTTATGGGCTCATGGACCATGGTTTGGATAGGTATGATGAGATTGTCTTACTGAAGAGACGGATAAATGGGTTGCGGGAGGAAGTGGCTCAGGGTATCCATATCCGTCTATTGACATCTGAGCGTGTAGAGGGCGAGAAAGTCTCTGCCCACTTATTGGGTAAGGTTAAGTCCCCTAGGTACTCTACCGTTATGACTGGTATTCGCAGGGTAGATGGAACGGTCCTCACAAATACTGATGGGTTGGTGTGTTACGTTCGGGAAGAGTTGGAGGGTTTGTATAGGAAGGTAGAGTGTATGTCGGCGGTTTGTGAGCATTTTCTTAGTTTTTGCCAGGATGTGTTGTCTGTTGAGGACAATGTGCCATTACTGAGAGAGTTTACGGATAGGGAGATTTGGGAGGTGGTTCGGGGGTTAGCGAATGGGAAGGCGCCTGGGTCTGATGGGTTGCCGGCGGAATTTTATAAGTGTTTATGGGGGGTGATTGGGTCGGACTTCTCAGAGGTGGTGCGGTATAGCCTGAGGCATGGTGTTATTAGTGGGTCAGTCTTTTGGTATTATTCGTCTCCTGCCGAAATCTGGGGATGTGCAGCTGCTCACAAATTGGAGACCGTTGTCTCTCCTGAACCAGGATTATAAAATTCTTTCCAAGATACTGGCGAATAGGCTTCGGTTGGTTTTGGGGAAGTGTATTTCACCGGGGCAGTTTTGTGGTGTTCCAGGTAGGTCGATTGTCTACTGCAATAATTTGATGAGGGATATGATTTATTATCTTTCGGATAATGTTGTTCCGTCGGCCATGGTAAATTTAGATTGGTCCAAGGCTTTTGATAGGGTGGATATGAGTTTTGTGTTTCAGGTGATGGAGAGGGTTGGGATTGGGCCGCAGTTGTCTCTTGGGTCAGAATGCTGTATAGGGGATGCAAACGTAGTGTTTGTATTAACGGGGTATTAAGTGCCCCCTTTTTCCTTGGGAGGTCGGTCCGGCAGGGTTGCCCCCTTTCTATGATCCTGTTTATTCTGTTTCAGGAACCTCTGTATATGGCTTTGCGGTCTCATCATTCTCTTGTGCCGCCACGTCTCCCGAATGGTTTGCTGGTACCCGTTGTAGGGTATGCGGACGACACGACTGTGTTTGTCTCCACAGAGGAGTCAGTTCTTGTGGTGCAGGATATACTGGCTCGGTTTCATCGGGCGACGGGGGCAGTGCTAAATCGGGAGAAATCTTGTATGATGGGGCTTGGTGCCTGGGCTTCTCGGCCTTCGTGGGGGGGTTCTTGGTTCCCGGTTGTGGACTCGATTCAGACTCTTGGCATCCGGTGGTGTAAAACGTATGCGATGTCCTTGCAGGTGAATTGGGAAGCAGTCTCTAGAAGAGTTTTGGGTTCAATTTCATGTGTGTATGGGAGGAGGTTGACTTTGTTTCAGAGGGGGCTGCTACTTAACTGCAAGGTTCTGTCCAAAGTTTGGTACATGGCTCATACCTTTCCGTTGAGTCGGCAGTTTGCATTGGCCATTAATAAGGGGGTTTTTCGAGACTTGTGGGGTGGGAGGTATTGTCCGATAAGTAGATCTACGCTTTGTTTGCCAAAATTGCGAGGCGGGATTGGATTGTTCGATGTATACTATAAGGCGTTGGCGATATTTTTTGTCTCGTTTAGGAAGGGGCTCTTGGAGGGGGACGGTGTGTTCTCTCTGGGGTTATATTATTGTACGATGCGTGTAAATTCTCTGTTGAGGTTACCCTTGTGTAAAGAGATTGCGTTTCTATCGCCTCCGTTTTATACATGTGCGATTGATGTCCTCCGGAGGCTTTGTCATGTGGAGGGGTTCTTATTTTTTCCGTGTCGAAGGGTGTATGAGGAATTGCGTCCTTTTGTCGCCCCTGCTGTGGAAGACTCGTTTCCTCTTTTTGATTGGATGGTGGTGTGGCAATCGCTCCATTTGAAGTTTCTAGCTCCGTCGCAGAGGGAATTCCTGTATCGGTATTTACACGAGTCGCTTGCGACTAACGAGCGGCTGCTGAGGTTGGGGATTAAGGATAGTGCTGGGTGTGACCTTTGTGGAGGGCTGGAGACTGCGTTTCATGTGTTTTATTTTTGCCCAGGCTGGGCGAGGTTGGTGGATTTGTTGATTAGGACACTTGTGCGGGTCAGTGTATCGTATTTTCCCTTTACGTTTATTGATGTTTGATGTTCAGGTTCCTTGTAGGAGGGTCCGCAATACTGTGCTTTTGGTTCTATCGGATTATCTTTATTGTGTGGGGATTGGGAGGCGGGAGGGGTATACAGTGGATAGAATGTTGGGGTTTTTGGAAGGTCGGTTACGTTACTCGAAATGGGAATTACGTTGGTTGCTTGGGGAAAGGTTGGGGGACCATTTTACTGATACTTATGTGCGTTATGGGTAGTATTTGACAATTTTTTTTTTGGGGGGGGGTACTGGGATTGTAGTTTGCTTTCGTTTGTGGGTTTGATTGTACTATACTCTTCAGTTGGCGGCTGTTAGTGTTCTGGGTTCCGTTTTGTTTTGATGTTGGTTGTTGGCAGGCTGTCCATGTGGGATTAATCTCCATTTGTGCGAGTGTGTGTGTGCGCTGGGTTTGTGCGCGACATGACCTGTTGTCCGTATGTCTTCCTTTCTTCTTGTGATGGGTTTGTGGGACGGCACTGTGTGTGTCACTGCAAGCACTATGATGGTATTGTGGCTGGGGTACCATACGGATGTTTGTGGTGCTATGATTTGAGACAGTTTGGGTTTGTATGAGTTTGTTTGAGGTATGGTTTCCTGGATTCCTTACATGACCTGTCCCTAATGTTGTGCTTCCCTGTTTTCCCGGTTTCTGGGTGGTACAGGTATTAATGTGTGTGTGTGTATTTTAAGAGGTGCTGTGACCCCCCCTGTTACATTGTTTCCGGTTGAGGGGACTTTGTTATATAGTTAACTAGTTTTATTTACTGGTTTTATTCATGCTTTCTCCGGGTTCGGAGTGTAATGTGTGTTTCATTTTGGATTCTTAGGTCCTATTTCTTATGCCCTGCCATAGTACATATGTGGCCTTTGACAAATCATGTGTTCTGTTTTCCTTGAGTGAGTGCCTTCTCATTTTTGCATTTCTACTGTTACCTTTATACTATTCGTGTCCTAGGTTTGGGTGGTGTGAGTTAGCTCTGTATTTGCTAGGGTTTGAATGTATATTTATTTAATGACTTTATATGGAAAAGGAAAACAAAACTATATGTGTATGTATATATATATATATGTATGTGTATATATATATATGTTTGTGTTGGCTGGCCAACACAAACATATATATATATATGTTTGTGTTGGCTGTTGCATGTTGTAACTGAACTGTGTGCTTTAAAACTGAGTAATTTGCTTTGTATTCGTTTACGCTGTTTTACTTTACTTTATTACTGTCATTTTTGTATATTGCTTTTCTTTCTTTTATGCATTTTTTGCCATAGGTCTTTGTTTGTATTATGTGTCCGGCCTTTTGGTCTGTATGCCTTTGGTGTGTTGTTTAGTGGGGCGTTTTGGGGATGTTTTCATTGGGTAAAACGCTACTAATGTTTTCAAGTGTTTTATGGGTTTTGTGCATGGTTAAGTGGATGGATATATGCTTTCTCCTTGTGTTGTGTTCATTTATGTTCCCCATCATACGCCTTTATTCGTCAGTACTGTAATTTTCCTTCTGTGCTGAGGGATGGGTAGTTTAATCACCTGTTTTGTGTTGATTGTTTCAATTTTCTTATGAACCATGTGTGTGCTATCCAACTCACTGTGTAATGGTGCTTTGATAACTGTTTTTATATTGTATTTATGTGTTTTATAAATAAAAGAGAAAAAAAAACTTATAGCCTCAAGAATACTGTATTCTAAGGACGACTTGTATAATCTGTCAAGGCAGCAAATGCCATTGCAACACAGTTGAACTGCCCATCTACAGGGCTATGTGAAAATACCTATCAAGGCAGAACCAAAGTCTCGAAATAAAGGACATACGATAGTGCACTGTTGCATGTGCACACTGGATATTCCACGCTGGTGACCTAACGACGTGCACTCAAATTGCACTCTTAACACAAACATGAAATTCCAGTCTCTGGCACTCAAAAAGCAGTGTATGTATAGGTATATCATAAATTTTGTGTTAATAATCATTTTGAAAAAAGGCAAACTACTGTTTAGTTATACTGTGCTTGTAATGTCTGTTCTAATATTAAATAATTTTCATTACTCCTTTCCAGTTTCTATTTAATATACATATATACCATACTTTTCATATATTTTAACGAAAGTTGTTAAGATAAATTACCAAACTTAATGTCAGTATGTCATCTTAAATGACATACTGCTCAAGATTTAAACATTAGCTTTCAAGGAACCTGAAAACTATTGTTTCGAAAGATTAAACAAATGAGTCTATTAATGTAATTTTGTTCCCTGAGGACGACGCCATGTGGGTGGGACTCTCAGCCATACTGGTTGCAGGAGCGATCAGCCTGTCGCTAGCGCGTCTAACAGACCTAGTTTATGGTCATATCAAGGTATCACTCATGGCTTTCATGATTATATCTTTGTGCTGCTTCTATTGGTTCTACCTCTTGACAGTGGGCGCCATCGTCATAACAAAAGGTAAGTATACGTTCAATTTCACCTCTAAACACCCACTTGTGTCGTTATTTGTTTCTTCGATTAAATTAATTATTATTTTTATTATAATATTGATTTTTAAACGTTGCATGTAGTGTTAAACAGTAAAATTATAAACATTTTCTTAAACGTAGTCTAAGAGTTTTCAATAACATATATATACCGAGCATAATAGTAAATGTGTTAATACAGTACAGTATTTACATAGATAATCCAAATTTACATCTTCTTGCAGGGCAGATTTTTAGTTCTGTGGTGATTGGCATATCATTCAATTTTGCCACTACTCCACTCTTCTTTGAGATGAGTGTGGAGTGCTCTTACCCCTGTCCGGAGATTATTGTTGCCGGCCTCCTCACCGGAGCTATGAACTTTATTGAGCTGGTCTTCCTCTTTATGTTTCTAATACCTGATATAGGTAAGGCCATCTCTTTTAATCTGAATAATTGGTTTTATTACTAAACAAATTTTAGTATCAAGTCATTTATTTTTATACTGCACCGTTCATTAGCTTTTATGTTTTCTTCAAAATGTATGCTTGTATTTGCTTAATTTGTGGTCGTGACTGAATAACCGTAAACAGGCTAGAACTATTAAATGTAGCCCACATGGATAACAGATTAGTGTTATAAGGTACAGATTACACAGATATCAGGGCATGGGAACATAATGTAGGCCCCACAGACCATATAACTGTTTAGCGAATCAAAATGTAGTAAATATCAATAACAGGTCCGGTCGTCATAATGTAGCCCACACATATAATAGGTTAGGGCTACATGACAAAGCCAAGGAGATAACAGGTAAGTGATGCATAATGCAACACACACACAAACGCACATGCAGGACTACATAATGTAGCTCACACATATAACAGGTCAGGATTACACAGTGTAACCCACAAAGATAACTAATAAGGACTACGTGGTGTAAGCTTCACATATATCAGGTCTTGGCTACATGATGTTCTCAGAACAGATAAGAGGGGCTAAATAAGAAATACATAATGTAGCCCACACAGATAAAAAGACAGGGCTACATTAGGCAGCCAATAGAGATAACAGTTGAGGGCTGCGTAATGTAGTCTGCACAAAAAAAGAAACTCCATATGTAATAGTACTCACAGAAAGAAAACTGACAGGAATCATAATAAATGCCATTTTTCCGCAGGACTATTATGTAGTCAGGAAAGTGGGAAGGAAGAGGAGGAGGTGGAGTGGCTCTGTTGATATAGAAGAACTTGAGTTTCGAAGAGAGGGATATCACGAGATGTGAAGGGGTTCAGAGACCATATAAAGGGGTACTGTAACGATAGGAAGACCAATGATAATAGTAATATATAACCCTCCACTAAATGATATAAGACCCAGATAGGACTATAATAGGAGCAACTTGGCCACCATCAATTTAAGAGACAGCAGTTTCTGATACTTGCTGGAATGTATCTAGACACTTAATCAATGGAGACTTCAACCATGCCAAGACAGACTGGGAAAATGGGGGCAGGGACTAAACTTTGGATTCCGCAAAAGCGGATCATCATCAGCATATGCTCATATAAACAAACTTTAGAAACTTAGGTAAGGAATCATTTAGGACCTTGCATTACATATGTCAGGCCGTTTCAGGAATATGGAGTCCGTACCTAGTTTAAGTCCGCACGAAGTCCGTACAAAGTTAAAGTTCAGAAGCACGCCACCAGATTTGTATCTGAGCTGAAGGGTATGAGCTATGAGGTAAAGCTTCTGGAATTAAACCTAATGTTACTAGAAGACGTGAGAGTTAAAGTAAACGTGATTACCATCTATAAGATTCTCAGGGGAACTGGCAGGGTAGACTATGACAAATTATTTTCCATGGGTGGCTCATTTTTTCGGCAACTGAAAAGTAAACAAAAAGAATGCATTAAGAAGTGATGTGGTGGAGGCAAACTCCATACACAGTTTCATATGATGATAATATAGAGCCCAATATGCTTAGGGCCTTGTTCTGTTGGCTGATGATTGAGAAGCGAAAACCAAAGAGTCGAAACTCAACCGCCGCAAGCACAACTAAGTAAATTCAGATAACGGGTTAGGGGGCTATATAATGAAGCCCATTCAAATAACAGGTCAAGGCTTCATAATGTAGCCCACTCAAATCAGCCTGTCCTCATAAACAAAGGCCAAAGTTCATTCAATACCGCCGCCGAACCCCCTCATTAGACTCTGTGTAGACTCTAACTCTTTCTCTTTCAACGGTAAATATTACACTCAAACTTTCGGTGTCGCTATGGGTTCCCCTCTCTCCCCTGTTCTTGCTAATTTCTACATGGAATACTTCGAAACTGTTCTTCTTCCTTCAATTGATACTCGTCCCTCTCTCTGGCTTCGCTATGTTGATGACATTTTTGCTTTATGGCCTCATGACCTTAATCTTTTCCAGCCTTTCCTCGCCTCTCTTAATAATCTGGCTCCTTCTATCCATTTCAAAGTTGAGTGGGAATCTAATTCCCTCTTTCCTTTTCTTGACGTTCATGTTCACAGCTCTGTGTCTGGGTTCTCTTTCTCTGTCTACCGTAAACCTATGCATAGTGGCATGTACATTCACTTCTTTTCCTACCATCCTCCTTCTGTTAAGAAAAGTGTCCTCGTCTCTCTCTTCCTCCGCGCTCTACGCATCAGCGACCCTCAGTTTCTTGATTCTGAAATTGCCTTCATCTACAAATCATTCTCTCGCCTTGGTTACCCTTTGCATTTCATCAACTGTGCCTACTCTCAAGCTAAACGAAATTTCTTTCATCCTAAACCTGCTTCCAACACTAGTAGCACTGTACTATGCCTTCCCTTCATATCTGAACTCAAAACTTTTACCAATACCTTTCGTCCTCTTGACATTAAACTCGCCTTTCGACAAACTAACACACTTCATAGCAATCTAGTTCACACTGCTCCTCCTGCTTCTAATGCTGCTAGTGTCTACTCTATTTCCTGTTCGTCTTGTCCTCTCCAATACTTTGGCGAAACTGGCCGTACACTGAATGACAGACTTAAAGAACACAAGAGAAGTGTTAAGTCTGCAGAAACTAACAATGCTCTCTTCTGCTATGTGATGGATTCTAATCATCCCATTGTTTGGTCTTCCTCCAAAATAATCTTTCCTGCCTCTACTCTACACAGACGCCGTCTTGTTGAATCGGCTCTAATACACAATGTACCCAACATGAACTTGAGTCCTGGCTTTGTTGCTGTGGACTCTTCCCTTTCACACTATATACTCAAATGCTCTAATCTTTCTAACAAACGTGACCTAACATAAGCCTACCCCTTTCATTTATCTTTCTTTCTCTTTCCTTTTCTTTCTCTCTTCTCCCTTTTTCTGTTCATTGTCTTCTCCTACGCTCCCTTGCTATCCTCTTCTTATTCATATCTCCTTCTCATCCGGTGGTTATAATAGGAGCTGCCTCGTATGGGCCAATAGGCCCTCTGCAGCTCTTATTATTATTACTATCCCTTCTACTACACCTTACTTTGCTCCTCAGCTCTCTCTTGCCTATTTATTGCCTGTCTCTACTTCCTCATCACAATCGACTTGAGAATGGTCCAGGACGGACCGAAACGTGGTCGTCCCTTCACCTTCTAGTGTGTGGTCTGGTCAACATACTTTAGCCACGTTATTGTGACTCATCGCCCAACTCGTCCTCTTAAAAATAACGTCACTTTTGGCTCGTATGCGCGCTATGGCCAAATTTGGACGTAATTTGAAATGAAATCGACTCACAAAAGTGACGTTCTGTTCCGTTTTCTATTTGAATCGTCCGGCCTACGCGCAGAGGTTATAAGAGGACACTTTAAATTAACGTTTTTCATAACGTTTTGAAACTTTATGAGAATTTCCTGCCCACCTAACCTATCAGAGGACCCTTAACTTACTGTTGTTGAAAAAAAAATCCCAAATTTATTTTCATTTTTTCATTTTCAAATTACGTCCAAATTCGGCCATACGGGCAAACTGCCAAAAGCGACGTTCTTTTTAAGAGGACAGGTTGATGTCGCCTGCTTAAAATATAAATATTCAGCGTTGCACAACAATTCCGTATGTATACCTGACAGATGAGATTGAATTTGACCTTCCCCTTCATAGAAACTGACCTTCCTCTTCATAGAAACTGACCTTCCCCTTCATTGAAACTGACCTTCCACTTCATTGAAACTGACCTTCCCCTTCATTGAAACTGACCTTCCACTTCAATGACACTGACCTTCCCCTTCATTGATACTGATCTTCCCCTTCACTGAAACTGACCTTCCTCATCATTGAAACTGACCTTCCCCTTCATTGAAACTGACCTTCTCCCTTCATTGAAAATAAACTAATGTCAAAGAGAGACGGATTACTGACAGGCATCTTGAATCCAACTGATTTCAGGTTGATGCTATTTGAGTAGTGTGTTTGGCGTGGTTTTAAACCAGGATAGCGCCAGAATCTGTTGATGTATAATGTTGCGGGTGTTCAAATGTATAGAACTTCATGGCATGATTAATTTATATTAATTAGGCTGTCATTGGTCTCATTATCTTAATTTTGTTGCACATAATGAGTCGTTACAATGTATCATCTCTCTGATGCTTAGTTAATGTCACTCACTTTATACCTAAAGTGTAATTTTCTATTTAGAATGCTTTGCACCTGTTTAGTAAATGCGTATCAAAATTATTTGTATAATTTGCTACCAATAAATTTTCTGACTGTGATAATGAATGTTTGCTTGGTATGCTGATATTTGTGACTTATGTAGGTAATGGACTGTTTATTTTATTTACATTTTTTTTTGCTTCATTTGACTTGATTTGAGAAGGTCAGAGCTACACAATGTAGCCATCACAGATAATAGGTCAGTGATACATAATGAAGCCTACACATATTAAAGGTCAGGGCAACAAAAAGTATCCCATACACATATTAGGTCAGGACAACGTACTGTAGCTCACAGAGATAACAGGTGAGAATTATAGAGTGTAGCCCGCATAGATAATAGGTCAGACTACATACTGTAGCTCACACAGTTAACAAATCAGGACTGTATAATGTAGGAAGAACAAATAACAGGTCAGAGCTATATAATGTAGACCACATAGACTCCACATGAGCTCTTCATAATGTAGGACACAAACATAACAGGTCAAGGCCACACAATTTACTCTACACTTTACAATTTACACTCTACAATTTACTCTGTTCGTTATTTGTTACGACATTAAATGTCCTGTGCGGTGCTCCGTGTGAAGTGTTAAGTGCAGTGTTTGTGCACAGTGTATAGTGACAACATGGCAGAGAGAGAAACCATTGACAATCTAAACGATGTTCAGGAATTTCGGAACAAGGAGGACTGTCTTGCTAGATTGAACCCCCTCCCCATCCGGCCCGTTGGCGCCGTGA